CTTCTTGTACACCTTCAAGCTCTTACAAGATGAGAAAGTTCATGTTCTGTTGCCATACCCAGCCATCACCACTCTCACAGAAAGGCACAATGTCTCCTTTATTGTTCTAAAGGATCAGCTCTACAACCAAGCCATTCACCCTCCAATTCGCAAATGCAAGAGGACTGCGAGTTCTAAGGTTAAAGAGCCAGTTGAAGAGCAGAGCACAACTAGGACCGCCGGTTGTGAGAATGAGGAGCCAAGAGATCTTGAAAGAAGAATGGGAGCAGGCCAGTACCACTTTGATCCTTATGTTTGGGGTGAGCCTGATTATCACACAAGGAAGCTGTATTCCAGAGTTAACACCCTTCAGAAATGGTGAAAGTGGCAAGACAAAACGATCCACAAGCTCGTTGACTGTGTTAGGCAACTAAAGAAGACGGTGAAGAAACTCACAGCTCCAGCCACCTCACCCAAACGAGATACAAGAGAGGAGGTGGGAGAAAGCTCAGCCGCTCATGACCTTGTGTTCCCACCAGGAAAAGAAGACTGGGTCGACCCGGTCACAACACTCCAACCAGACTCACCTGAGAGCAGCCCACCTAGATACTCAACTCCATCCTGTTCCACCTCCAACCCATCCCACTACTTGGGATCAGACCTCAGTGATTGAGGTAAACACTCAAAACTCTGTACATATGCATGTAGCTCTTCTTTTCCATTTTGCATTTTACTTGTTTGCTTTGTTTTTAACTCCTTTCTCATGCTTTCATAACACAAGGGACTGTGTTATTTAAGTGTGGGGGAGGAGTTTCATCTTTTACTAATCATGTTTTCTCTGTTCTTATTTTACACTTTGAGTCTTGAGTCACATTCTTGCATGCATTCATATAGTCTCATCTAAGTGCATATAAAAACCAAAAAAATGGAAAAATCTGAAAAATTTTCACAAAAAAAAATGATCATGTAGTTGCATTCTCATTTTTAGGATTGAGATGATCTGAATCTGAGAAGCAAGTTTGAATTGAACTCAACTCTAGTTAAGTGAGAACCTTAAACCTGACTTGAAAATATCTTGTGATGCATTGTTTGAAAAAGCTTGTGGATACCGACATACATACTTGAGCTAGAACCATTGTTTTTACCACCCTTTTCCTTAGCTCAAGTAGCTGAATCCGCATCATGGATCAGTTCCCTCACCTTGAACCCATCCTTCTTTCAAGCCAATGTTTGTGTGTGAATTTAAAGGCCACCTTGGATCAAACTTAGCAGAAAGTGTTAAGTTTAGAGCGACAAGGGCGGGTCTCATTGAGTGCTGTGTTCCAACATCAAGGAATTGAGAGTGTTGGCAAGGAGTAAGTGTGGGGGAAAAGACTTGTTGGTGAGTGGAAAAAGGTGAGATGAGTGGAAAAGAGAAAGTGGAAATAGCTAGGGGAATGAAAGAAAAAGAAATCAGTCTTGGAGTTTTGAGTTAAAGAAAGTGAGCTCTGGTGTCTTGAAAAGAAAAAGTCTAGCCTCTAAGTAAAAGGAAAAGAAAAGAAGCCAAAGAGCTCAAATATTTTGAAAAGAAAGAAAAAAAAAAGAGGCTAGAGGTTGTAAAAGAAAAAAAGAGCTGTGTAAAGGTTGAACTCCAAGACTTGAGAGTGAAAGTGAAGAGTAAGTCCCCTAGTGAGAGGAAAATAAGTGTGAAAAGTGAGGTTTTTGAGAGAGTGAGCAAGTGAGAAAGCTTTGAGTAGAGGGTGGGGTGTGAGGAGTCTTTGCCCTTGTATGCATAGGTTGCTTTTTACCTTTAGCATTCTGCCAAAGTTTGATCATTCATAGAGAGATCCCTTTGCTGCATTAAAGCCGCTTGAACACTGATGAGATCATTTTAATCTCATAGCCTCTCCCTAGCCAAACCAGCTTGTTTAAACATTGCATCATTGGATTCACTTGATAAAAGCTTAATGAATGTGAAAGAGTTGAGAGAGAGAAGAACTTGTGGAGATTCCTTGTTTAGTTGATATATATATCTGAGTATGGCTTTGCATTGCATAATTGAGCATGAACTTGAATTCTCATTGTGATCACTTCTCTCAATAAGGAATATGAACTCCCAATGCATCCAACCTCTTTCTCTCATTTGCTCTTTTTGCTTGAGGACAAGCAAAGGACAAATGTGGGGGAGTTGATATGTTCATAGTTTGCATCATTTAGGTTGTATATTTCATTCCAAATCATATCTTATTCCATGCATTTTAGGCCCTTAGAGTTTGTTTTAGGACTTAGGAGATGCATTAGGTCCCAATGAGTCTTTGCATGTTTTGAGTGTTTATCAGGTGTATTTGGAGCTATTGGAGCTGAAAAGATGAATCCAGGAAGTGGAATGGTGACCAAGGCTTAAAATATGGTGAAATTGGGTTTTTGGAGGTTCTCGGCCATTCTCGCGCACCAGGAAGGTTTTTCTCGGCCATTCTCACGTACCGCGGGTGGATTTTATCGCCAAAACACGTACCGGCTAATGAATTTCTCGGCCAAAATCTCCGGGTGCAGACACATTTCCGAATTCGCCTGTCGGGTACTTCATCAAAGTTAGAGAGGATTGGATCACGGTTCCAGAGCAAGTGGAATCATGGAATTCGGACGCGTGAGCAGAAAGTTAAGCTCGTCGGAAAAAACTCTTGTCTCGCTGCCATTTTGGACCAAGCCGATGAGCTCCGAAGAATGCGAAGGACGGTGCACTTACAGATCGATTCAGTTTAGGGGGCCTTCATGAGAACCAGAGATATTCAAGATCATTCAGAACATCCGAGATCATTCAATTCGGAGCTATGAGCAAGAAGATACGGTCTCCGGAATGGACACATGTCTAGACGCCTTTCCCTGATCGTGTAAATGCACTGCGAAGATGAGCCCTCCAGGAAACCTTCCACTTCCCACAAACCGAAGCTTCCTTCACCAAAGTTGAAGATATATGAGTCCTCTGTCCTCTGAAACCGGAAGCACGCAATTCGGACAAATATCTTGGAAGTTACACCTGCCTGAACGCGAAGTGGTCCGAGGAGCCCTGAACGCTTAAGATTGATAAAATCATGCTAAGGGAAAGATGCCACGATGGAATGCCACGGTCCACACTTGACCGTGGCACTTAATTGCAGTCCTTTGGCGTTTGACACGATCTTCATGTCGCAGTCTACACTTGACCGTGGCAAAGCAACATTTGGCCGGGAAGGACTTTACAAACATTCGGCACTTGACACGGTTTCTATGCCACGGTCTAGGACTTGGCCGTGGCAAGTTTTTACTCATCTTCGGCGATTGGCACGGTCTCAATGCCACGGTCTATGACTTGGCCGTGGCAACTTTTTACTCATCTTCGGCGATTGGCACGACCTCAATGCCACGGTCTAGGACTTGACCATGGCAACTTTGTACACTTTCTCGGCGTTTGACACGGCCGTGCATCACGGTTTCACATCTGACCGTGGCAACCTTTTACATACATTCGGCGTTTGACACGACCACTTGCCACGGCTCGACCCTCTGTCTTTTCATCGCCACTCTGTCTTCAATAAGAGAAGTTTTTCTGCAACTTTTGTTTCTTTACTTTTTTTTTCCTAAGTTCTAAACCAATGATGATGTCTATCTCAGCTATGTCTGAGTAGTCACCTAGTTGGGTGAAAGGAAAATCCAAAGGGATCCCTTGTTAGAATGACATCTAGATTTTTAGGAAAAAGGATTTCGATTTTTACATGATTCTCCCATTCATCCAAATCTCAAAGCAGTAATTCTGGATTGATCACACAGAATCCGATCCTAGGTTAAATCCAAGCCACGAGAATGTTGTATCTAGGTTGCCTGAACTGGATCTTACGGACGTCACCATCGTAAGAGACGAAATCTACAAACGGAGGATACGTAAGCCGAGATGGATTCGGATCTGCAATGCATGATCTTGTTCTGGCATGAGAGCGAGAGTTAATTGCCTTGAGTGAGTGATTATATGATTAGGGTGACGAGAATTGGCTAATCTTACAAGTGTCTATCCTAGTTTCAGAGTCATAGAAAATCCTTGCCTAAATTCCTTGTGTTTTAGAACATGAACCCTAAAGATGAACTTTGAACCCAGCGCCGTTTTTCTTATTGTTTTTAACCGATTTTATTTCCAGCTTTTTACTTCTCTGTTTAATTATATTTAGTGACAAACCAAAACCCCTTTTTATTAGATACGGTCTACGATTGTTTTTAGCATCAGTTACAAGTCCGCTTTTTATCTTTGCTTTGAAAACTAGGAGACCTGACAACACTGCACAGCCCTTAGACGAGATTGACAAACACGAAAGAGCACTTAGGAAACTCAGACGAAGAACGATCAAGATGGCCAATCCGAATGCCCATCAGGAAGATCTTTTAAACCGTGATCAAGAGGATCACATTGGAGATGATGACTGTGATTCTATTCATGGTGATGACCTAGATGCTGTCCATGAAGAAGATGGCCTGCCACAACTCGATGAAGAGGGAAACCAAGTCCCTGCAAATGCTGCTCAAGCTGCTGATCACCGAAGGAGACAAGACCAGGTCGATCCCGACGAAAGAAGGAATGAGGAAAACATTGTTCCACCAAATGGTAGGAAAGCCAATCAACCCATACAGCTTGCCAATCCTGCGAAAAGACAGCCTCGGAATATACTCATTGCCGATTTGGATGCACCTCACCAACACTTCCAAAATATATCAGCTATTTAAGTTCCTGTTCTAGCAAGAGGAGATCATGAGATAAAACTTCAGATTGTCTCTTTGGTGAAGCAAAATAAAGTCCATCAAATCTCTACTGAGCATCCAATAGACCACATTGATCTTTTTGAAGAAATTTGTGGAATGGTGAGAACAACTCTAGAAACTGTGGACTATGTGAAGTGTAAGCTTTTCCCTTTCTCTCTAAGTGATAAAGCTTTTAGATGGTTAAAATCTATGCCATCTGGTTCTATAATGCAAGTCCGCTTTCCTGAACCACTTCTACACCAACTCAAGATCGAACCAGCTGAGAATAAGATAAAAAGTTTCCTACAAGGCCCAATAGAATCATTCTATGAAGTCTGTGAGCGATTTAAAGACTATGAGAGATACTGCTCTCATCATGGTTTCTCTGGAGCAAACCTGCTAAGCACCTTCTATAGAGAACTTCAGCAAAAGTATCAATTTTCTCTTGACACCGCCAGCACTGGAGATTTCAGTTTGAAAACTATACTACAAGGGAGAGCACTCATCGAAAATCTGGCTGTAGCTAACAGCAACAACAACCCTGAGTATGACAGATCAAAGAAGACTATCATTTAGTCATGAACCAAGGGAGATTTCTGAGCTAAAAAGCATGGTAAGTGAACTTTTTAAGTCTCAAAATAAAAATATACATGCTTGTGATACTGCTGCAGGAAATGAAGAAGATGCAAGATATGAAGATGATGGCATATACCAAGAGGAAGAAATCAATTTCATGGGAGCTCAAGCATACCAGAACCGATTCAGCCCAGCTTTCAATCACAACTTCAGGAATGACAACTTCAACAATCTCTCATACAGGAGCCAAGGAGCCGAGAACTCCAAAACCAGTCTTATCCGCAGCAACAAAGGAGCTTTCCAAATAAGTTCCAAAATGGGAACTATGGAGGAGGAAATTTCCAACAAAGACCACCTTTCAACCCTCAACAAGCACAGACCAGCTCATTAGAAGCAACCTTCTCCCATTTAAGCAACCCGGTAAAATCGCTTGAACAAACTATGATGCAGACAACTCAAGGCAATGAGAAGTCAATCAGGGTAATTGGAGTAAGGATCGATTGTATGTACAATGACTTGAATGGGAAGTTTGAATCTCTTGCAACCCATGTCAAGAAGTTGGAACATCAGATAGGTCAGACTGAGATTCAATGAAGAGACAACCAGGAGTCTTACCAGGAAGAGTGGAGGATAATCCAAAGAAGTTCTGAAATGCTTTGACAGCAGTTTTGGAAGAAGAACCTGTCGCAGACTCTAAGGAAAAGTCGACACCTGAGCCCCTCATGAAAGACTCTAAAACTGAGCATGAGAGAAGCCAAGTCATTCCGGTTAAGGTACCAAAACGCTTGCCTGACCAAAGACTCAAAAAGTCTAAGGATCCAGGGAGTTTTTCTTTCACTTGTTCAATTTCTGAATTGAATTTTCAGATTGTTTATATGATTCTGGTGATAATGTGAATGTTATGTCAAAATCTGTTGCTGAGAGACTTGGTATAGGAACATTTTTCCCATCTCCAGTAAAGATAATCTTTGGTGATTCATCTCAAAAGAGGACAGAAGGAATGATCCAGGACTTGCCATTGGTCATTGGAAATAAAATCATTCCAGCTGATTTCCAAGTCCTAGAGATGGACAAAGACAAAGAAAGACCTTTGATATTTGGTCGCCCATTCTTAGCAACTGTAGGTGCTATTATTGACCATGCAAATCGCTGTTTAGTTTTCTTAAATGTGGACAGGAAAAAGTTCTATAAAACCACATTGGATCAAGCTCCAAAACGCAAGGATAAGAGCAAAGAGAAGATATTGGATGACAAAAAGGAACTAAAAGCACTTGCATCCAGGCAATTTGAAAAGATCAAGATAGTGGTGCCAGTAGACATCATCAAGGAGAAAGTGAAAAATCTTGAAGAAATTGTTGAGAACACAAAATATGTCTTCAAAGATGCAAAAATCTTTAAGAAAAGAAAAGAGATTGTGACTCAAGATGAAGGAGATCCAAATTTAAAGCTAAGGAGGATCCCAAGGACTATTACTTCAAGAGATCCTACCTCTTTTTCTCAATCCTAATCCTACAAAGAGCTCTAGCTAAAAGACTTTAAATAAAAGCGCTTGATGGGAGGCAATCCATTTGGTATGATTTTATTTTCCTTTTATTTCTTTTTTTATTTTGATCTTTTTCTCTTTATGCATTTCACGCTTTCATAAAACCAAGAAAAAAAAACTAAAAACATTCAAAAATCCAGAAAATACGAAAAGATAGGAAGAGGAACTCCCAGGAGCATTTACCGCGGTCGTGATCAATTCAGCAGTGGCCGGCCCATCATCCACCACGGCCCGCGTCCCTCGCCCACGGCCAAATGCTCCTCTGCCGCGGTCGCACGCGCCTGGCCCATGGCCGGCTCCTGTTTGGCTTCGAGGCTTGTTTTCCTGATTTCTCGCGAACCGGAACTTACAACTCCTGATTTATTCCGGGATTGAACCAGGAAGTTCCTGAAACATAATTTCCGTGTTAAAAACACCAAGGTAAGTCTTCTAAACTTTTAAAAATTAAATTTTCTTACGAAAAACATATTTTTAAAACATATCAAAAGAGTCATTCTCTTCATCCTCTCCAACAAGCTTGGAGTTTTTGAGAAAAAGACAAGATTCAAACTTGACAAACTTGCTTCAAATTTTCGAACCTGTTTCACTCTTTTTCAAAGGAGATTCCAGATCTATCATCACATAACACTTTCATCAAGGTATGGATCCAAATTTCTCAATTTTTCTTAAGAACTCAAATTTAGGGTTTTCTTAGAATGAGTAGAAAATCACCTTAGGATGATGGGAGATTGTCTTTGGACTTAAGATTAGACCTCTGGGTAGTTTAATTTCATGATTAAACACTTAGACCATAGAGATTTAAAACTTTTAAAAATCTGAGATTTGAGACCTTGAGCAAATCGAAATTTGAAGATCTGTTTGATTCAGCTTTGTAGATCTGGATTGTTTGGTCCTTGTTGATAAACCAGATTAGATTACATATGAGTGAGCATTAACATCATCTTGATTTATAAATCGCATGTGTTGGATATCAATATATCGAACTTGACCAAGAATTCTCATATTTTGCAATGTTTGATGCTATTACAGCTTGTTTGTCATATGAATGTGTTTGTGATAGCTCTATAAACACCTTGTTCATAAAAATCGATACAAAAGCAGCTTCATTTACTCGTTGTCTCAAGAATCTCGTTTTGCAGGTCATGAATCTCTCTCAAGTTCAACTGATTCGAACCACGATGAATTTTCATGCGAAAAAGCCCCATTCAAAGGAGACATATGACGCATTAAACGAGACACAGATGAGTGATGATGAACCCTTCTCCACCTTCATAACCGCACAAAGGAGAATCTTTTCAGGAGAGATTGAGCGAGCTTCCACACAAATATATGTACCTCGGAAAGCTAAGTCTTCCTCTAGGCCGAAAGTGAAGTTTGTTGTTAAAGCCATTGACCCAGACATCAACTACTTGGCGCAACTTGAGAAGCTGAAGATCAAGCCAACTCCAGCAATTGACTACTCACTCTTGAGATGCTTGGAATCAGAGAGGATGTGATATGGTATCTTGATAGGCTTGGAATGAGATCATTCATGGCGCAGAGTTTTCCAACCTATGAGAGCCACACCAAGGAGTTCCTTGCATCAGCAACTTTGTGCTACAAGAAGAGAGCTACTCCTAGAGCTCTTGATGGCATACTCTCCTTCTTTATTGGAGGTCATCTCTATTCTCTTACCATTTTAGAGATGTGTGATGCTTTGAAGTTACCTTATTGTTATGAGATTGCATTGGAGAAAGATCCAGATCAGGATCTTTGGAAATTGATGGGTTATGGAGTTTATGACAAAGGAATGTCCAAGGCATCACTAATTTCTCACCCTGCTGTTCGCGATGTGCACAAGCTACTAGCACACACTGTGTTTTCTCGAGACAACCAAGCGAATGTCCTCAAGCCAGAGTTGGTGACAGTACAGCTACCTTTCACGGATCACCCAAGGTTCTCATGCTTTGCTTGCATCATTGCAAGGAACCTAGTGAAGGTTAAGCATGAGATGCTTGCATCTGATTGTTTGGACTACTCACCAGCTTTTAGAAGCATCATTACTTTGCTTATGGTAGCAGCAGGAGTTGAATTTTCAGCTGAGACACCTCTTAGAGAGGATTGGTTCGATCTCTCTCAGTTATCTAGAGACAGGACTATCACCAGGGCCAAGATGGACCTAATTGGATTTCCTTACAAGTTCTGCACTAATACCACCGAGTACAGGGTTCTTCTACCTTCAGATTCAATGCCCTGTCTCTGAGATGGAGCTGACCCAGGATGGAAACCAGAGACTAGCGACTTCCTACCATCTTTTCCACTCTTACCTCTGATCGTGAAGCAATTTCTGAATGCAAAATCCAAGAGAGAGGTAGCTGCAAACAGCAGGAGACTTCAGCCTGCACCATCCCGAGCCAGTTCTTCTCAGATTAGAGCATCCACTATGAGTGATGTAGACTTTCCCGCTTTGAAGAAGAAGCTCGACCAGAAAGAGAAGATCAACAGGCGCATGAAGAAGTTACTGAAGAAGAACCACATGTGTGATGATGACTCTTCTGCTACCGAGACAGATGACAGCCATGAGACATAGGCGCATATCCATCACCATATCATACCCACGGTTCTATAACCATTTTTTTTTTAATTTTAGACTCTTTTGCTTTTATTCACTATCTTCTCACCAACTTTGTCACACTGGGGATTGTGTGATTTAAGTCTAGGGGAGGATGTTTATTCGTACTAATCTGTTTTTTTGTTTCTTATATTTTTCTGCAATTTTTAAATTTTTCTATGCTTATTAAAAGACCTTGAGTATTTTTCAGGAATATTTGACACAAAAATATGATGAGTAAGACCCATGTGCTTCTAGACTTTTCATGCTAGTTCTTTTTCTGGTTAGTACTAGACTAGGCGGTAGATAGAGTACTTGCACTACGAACTCCCACTAGAGGATTTCTATTCATGAAATTTTTTTCTACCAGGATATACTAGCTCATTTCACTTGAACATAATCTTGACATCTAATTTTCTCATCATTGGTTTTAGCAGGCATCATGATACACATCTAGAATATCTTCACCTTATTCTGATCACTCTTTGTTGTCCTAGATGGCCAGTTCATTTTTAGCTGGTACCACATCCTTTACCCAAACCTTATGTTCAAAAATCATGCATCCTCTCTTTAGTTTATATTGACAGATATGTGCAAAAACGCCGGAGAGGGATGAACAACATGGTTTTCAGTCACTCAAGAAAATTTTGGGAAAGTGGAGCACAAGAACCTAT